ATTTATATCTCCGATTGCTTTTGCCCCACCTGTCAATAAAACGGCAGATTGTCAACAAGTGAAAATAGTCGATTGAAATGATTCAAACTATGGCGCCAAATTATTTGTCTACTGTTTTTAAAATTTCGAACTTGGAGCTCTGATGAGCATTTATAGTGAAACACATTTAGGTTTTTTGTCTCAAAGCGATCAATTGAACAATGTTGCTGCTAGTCTCCGTTTGTGCTATCTGCCTGGTCATCAGTGCTGCCTTCGACATGGATGCGATCGACTTTGACCTGCTTGTAGAAAACTTGACCATATACAATGGTACAGTTTTGCAAGGTAGTAAGGGTAATAGGAAACTTTTTAATGCAAATCTGTTTTTTTGTTTTTTCAGAAAGTGGAACCCCGTTTTCCCGTAACCGCAACTTTTTGGNGGTCATCAGTGCTGCCTTCGACATGGATGCGATCGACTTTGACCTGCTTGTAGAAAACTTGACCATATACAATGGTACAGTTTTGCAAGGTAGTAAGGGTAATAGGAAACTTTTTAATGCAAATCTGTTTTTTTGTTTTTTCAGAAAGTGGAACCCCGTTTTCCCGTAACCGCAACTTTTTGGACTTTCTCGAGCTTTCTACCTCCGACAATCTCGAGATGTGGATGACTTTGGGCGGTGTGGTGCTCTTTACAGCCATATTCAGCGCACTCATCATTTTTGGCACCATTTTTAGCAATGAAAGCATCCTAAGGCGTTAATTGACTTTTTAATGACAGAAGCAAATTGTTTACAATAAATAAATGCTTTCATTTACAGCGATTTGGCAGTCGAGAATTTACATTGTTTGTACATTATTTACAGCATCCTTCATATTTACATGAGTATTTTACATTTGGAAAGTATAAATTTTTGGCATTTGGCATAAGTTGAGCAGAGAAATGAGCTGAGTTGAGAATGTGCTTTGAGCTTAGTGTCTTACTAGTCATTAGTTGTAATTACTGTCATCAAGTTTGGCTCTAAATGAGAAATCTCTCTTTATGGTGCTTGACCTTGTTAACGTGGCGTGCCTCGCCTGTGGCTCAACGTGGCAAAGTGGCGAGGGATTGAGGCGATACTTCTCTGGCTCTTCGTACGTGTTTGGCTCACTGACGGTGTGCTTCATCAGCCCCAAACCAGAGCCCATGTCGTCGCCTCTGCGCTTGTTGATCACAGTGGCAATTGTCCACGTTAGACAGGAGCTGACGATGACGGAGATGAAAACGCAGATCAAGATGAGCATAATGTTTGACTGCTGCTGAGCGTTTTTTACAATGGGCTCAAAAGTGATCACATTGGACTGCATCAAATGGTAGCTACAGTAACGGGATTCCTGGTAGTGGCCACTGCACGGCTTCTCGGTGAGCATGCAGCTGCGATAGCGAGCTTGGGAGCCGTTCACGCAGCGAGACCACTCACTCCAGTCAGACCATTCTTCGACGCCGCTGCAGCCACATTCTTTACTGTATGTCAAAGAAAGAAAAAACTCATTAGTAAGCTGCTGACAGAATAGCGCACCAGATGTACTCTTACATTAAATAGTCTCGTTCTTTGAAGTTGTACGTGTAGCCTTCACACTTGCTGCAGTACTTCATTGTGATGACTCGCTTCTCATTCTTCGGCATGATGTTGTTCTCATGTGAGGCGACCTCATTACGCTGCTCAATGATCTCATTATCATTGATCTCGGTGATGAACCAGTTGGTCCACTCTGACTTTTTGCAGTTGTCACAGACAGAGGTCTCAACGTAGGTGCCCATGCAGAAGCTTTCATCGACCATGGCGCCCTGAAAGTCGACGCATTTACGTGTTCTCCTCCTCAGTTCAGGAGTGCACACCTGTGAGCAGTTTGACCACTCACTCCAGGGAGTCCAGTTGCAGCTCGGCAGATCGACGCAAGCTTGCTCCTGAAAAACAACTCGGTCAGTTAAAATCACTGTCTTATAAAGCGCCAAGCTCAAACAAACCTCTCTGCTTGGTCCCTGGCACGGTTGTCCATTGAACATCGGCGCCGGGTTAGTGCAGGCTCGGGTGCGGTACCGACGCCCACTTCCACAGGATGGAGAGCACTGTGACCATTCAGACCACTCCGACCAGTCGCCATTCTGTGTGCAGTTGGCCACCTCCAGCTCGTAGCCATCCGAACAGGAGTCACTGTTTGTCGATGAGCACGGTCGCTTTCTGCACTTGCATGACTCATTCATTGAGCGGTCATGCTGTTTGCAGGAGAACCACTTGCCCCAGTGTTCGTTGGAGCACTGCGGCGATGCTGGCTGAATCCAGCCGTCGGCTTTGTAGTTGCTGCCCGGTGCTTTAGTGCACTTTAGCTTGCTCTCACTCCAGCCACAGTACGGGTCACCGCTGGCCAGGCAGCGCTCCTTTGTGTGGAACACATGACACCGGTGAACGGGCACGCGGAGGACCTCTTTCTCAGTGCCAAAGTACAGCGACAGGGTGTCCTTGAGCATTCTGTGAACACAAACAAACGATTAACTGATGAGCAAACGTACTTTTAATTATCTAATGAATGATTCACTTACTTCATCGACAAGATTTGATCCTCTTTCGGATTGATTAGCTGTATTTCATCCACCAGGCAGGCCTCAGTCAGTGTGGGCCACCGGACGTACTTCATCAGTTTTCCGTCTCGAGTGACCACAAAGAGCACCTCAACTGAATCGTGGTACCGCAAATTGAGGACATCGGCCGCGATGAACTTAAACTGCTCCGTCTTAGAGATCACATATGGTCGTTCGAGGATTGAGGGCACAGCACGGTCCATCAGTTGATACGTCTTCGAGTTTAGTCCATATCCATAGGTGCTGCTCGACTGATTGCTCGTTGCGCCACATTCAAAGGCATCCCGATTGTCGCTGGTACTCTCCCAGATATGATTAGAGGACTTTTGGTACTTGAAAGGGCCCTGAAAAGAGCCCAAGATGGAGTCAATGTTGAAGGCACACACTGCTGAGCCGTGAATTGAATTTCTGTAAATTGAACAAAGCAGAGAAATATAGAGCATTAGGGGAAAATGAAGCCGAAAAGCCATTAAGAGGGGGAAGTAGGCCTGTAGTACTTACTCAGGAGTGTTAAATATGGCGTAAAGCGTAGGCGAACCGGTGCTTTCCACAAAGTCGACTGACTGAATTTCGTCAAAGTAAAATGGAAATAAGCCGGGAATAGAGCAATTGAGTCTTGACTGTAATTGGAAGGTTTAAGTGAAAGATAAGCGTTAATAATCGTTGAATTATTCACATTTCATCTGCGTCAGCCTAAAGTATCAGCCACCATTTCCCACTCTTACTTTCAGCACTATTTGTCTCTTCTCATTACTATCACTTCCTCTATCTTATTATCTAGTCTTTCAGTACAGTTTATACGGCAGAAAAAAGATGTTTACCTTGAGAAAGGTGGACCAAACTGCGCTTTTTGCCATACCAGGGTCGTTCTTGCAGACTCGACCGATGCGAGAGTAGATGCGCTTGCCGCAGTTCAGATACTCCACGGCGGACTCTCGGAAGAGAAAGTACACATGGCTCTGATACTCGAAGCTGTGCACAAAGTTGGCGTCAGAGTTGATCCACTTGGAGTCATGCTGTGCACTGCGAATGATTCGCTTGTCCTTCGGATTGGTGCTCTTCGTGGCCGCCGTCAGGGCGATCTGCTGCCGGGTGATGGAGGAGTCGATGCCGCGCAGGTCGAGCGGGCCGCCGTAGAAGAACTCCCCGGTGGTGGTGATCAGTGAGGTGGTGTTCCAGCTGGGACTGTACGAGTTGATGGGCGCACTGCGACTGGTGATGGTGTCCATCGAGGAGAGCGGCCTCAGCTCGCACTCGGGCGAGTAGGCATTGGTGCCGCACACGAGAATCTGCTTCTCGCGGTAGTTCGACTGAATGGGCAGCAGTGCGGTGATGAAGTTGTGGCACTGCTCCTTCTTCATGCCCTTAATCTGGCAGTTGTACTGCTTCGTCTGGTCGGAGGGCATGTAGTATACCCTCTTGTAGGAGGAATCAAACTCCAGTCCCAGCGTGACGATGTAGTCCCTGGGGTTTGTTAGGAAATGAAATTAAGGCAAATTAAGTAAAGGGGCTTGATTAGATATAAATGCAAATGCTAATGTCCGACTGGGCAGTTGACATGAGGGGCAATGTGTATTTTAATTAGAGAGCTCTAAATGTGCAGATCGCCAGATCGGTAAGTCAAGATCGTCAGTAATCAGTGGCAGCAGTAGTAGTTGGCAATCGGCCAATTGACCCGTCGGCTAGTCAGTAAGTGGCTATAAAAAGTGGCCAGTATCACTGAGAAAGAGAAAGACAGTGCACTAGTAGTGATCACTAAACGGTCAGGTAGTGTTGTCGCTGTCGCTGCTGTTCTCTAACTACCTGTTCACCTGTTTGCATTCGCCAGGAAAAAGCGTGGACACAGTGCGTAGCGGAGACAAAACCGCAACAACACCACCGGCACTAGCAGTCCATATAGAGAAGTAATGCATAATGAGTTGATTTGAGCTGCGGTGCTTCGAGCCTCAAAGATCTGCTGCTGTCGCTGTAATCAGTCAGGGAGACAGACAGTGCCAGATGAAGACTGCAAGCGCGAGCTAGCTAGCTGGCTAGGTAGGCGCGCACGCCCTTTGGTTAGGCAAATGCAGCCACTGCAGCCATCGTCAGAGAGGCAATGTCCTCGCCAGCGAAAGCGAGTATCTGAAGCTGGGCTATATAAGGCAAAACTCTGCACATTGAACAACAAGTGGTGGCGGCGGCGGTGGCGATGAGCGCACACCTCGCAGCTGTATATCTTTCCCTTGCAAAAATTATGAAACATTTACCGGACACTCCAATTAGACCACCGGTCTGTGAGTGTGTATGTGTGTCTGTCAATTAATTTATTCATAGATCGAGTTAAAAGAGAAAGAGAAAGAGTAAGAGACACACTGCAACGAAACCGAAATTAGGCGGTACATTAATCACCATTACTAATGCTGTCGCTAGGAGCACCAGTGGTTTTTTGCCCTTTTCAAAGTATTTATTTTTCCACCAGCGCCACAAAAGACTGCATATTACATTAGATAGCTCAACACACTCACACACAGACACTGGGCAGATGAATAAATGTTGGCCGAAAAGAAAGTAGGCGAAAATGAGGATAGAGTTGCGAGCAGTGAGGGATCAGTGTGATACGCCATGATCAGTCCACAGCTCAGTAACTGATCCACTGGGGCGAAAAATGCGCACAAACTGGCAATTGGCTTACTGGCAGAGCAAAGCTAAGCGCTGGATGCAGTGAAGAAGTGGCCCAAAGTCTGCAAAGAAGATCAGCAATCTGACATGGGTNTGGGCAGATGAATAAATGTTGGCCAAAAAGAAAGTAGGCGAAAATGAAGATAGAGTTGCGAGCAGTGAGGGATCAGTGTGATACGCCATGATCAGTCCACAGCTCAGTAACTGATCCACTGGGGCGAAAAATGCGCGCGAGCTGGCAATTGGCTTACTGGCAGAGCAAAGCTAAGCGCTGGACGCAGTGAAGAAGTGGCCCAAAGTCTGCAAAGCAGATCAGCAATCTGACATGGGTCTTACTGCACGATCACTCGCCTGAAACAGACCTTTGCCCGGGCAAGAGGGGGAGAGGAGTGGACAGACTGAAGGGAGGACAATTAATGTGTCCAGTGGTCAGTGGTCGTGACCACACGCTCAGTGGGACACACACACCAGCAGACCAACAGACCAGTAGGGCAGAGTACCACTGTCACTTTTTCCTACTTCAATTTCGCTGTTGCCTTTTTCTCCCCTTTTGTCCACTGTTCCTTATTCTCCAGATGTGATAGTCATTAAAAGTAGTGCAACGAGTGCAAGGAGCAAGTCGCAACATGAGACGACGAAGACAAACTGCTTGCCTAACGATGAGACATCTGTTCAAACAGTCAGCAAAGCTGCGTCTTGGAGAAGGGAGCACCGAGAAAGAGGAGAGAGACAGGGACTGGCCTAAACTGCGTAAAAGAGGAAAATGAGAGCAACGTGGGACCCTCTTGGTGGAAAGCCGTCCACTGGTGCTGTGTGAATATGACTTTAATTGCACGAAACAAATTGCACTCAATGGACGCAACGCAACGAAAAGCTTCCAGCTGATATATGCATTGAAAATGGGCAGTTTGTTCAGTGATTGAGTAAGGAGTAGAAGAGCCACCAAGTAGACGAGTAGTAAAAGTAGAAATAACCCATAAATGAGTACTATTAACTCTAACTCGAGCAGTCTACTACTTTTAACTCCATCAACTGGACGCGATCAGAGTGAAGCAGTGCGGCAGTGCTGAAGCAGTGCGGCAGCAAGAGGCACAATAATGGCAAGCGGCCCCGAGGTCATTTTTTAAGATTTTTCCAGGCCCGGGCAAGCAAACGTCCACTAGAAAAGACGATTGTCAGACNCAAGAGGCACAATAATGGCAAGCGGCCCCGAGGTCATTTTTTAAGATCTTTCCAGGCCCGGGCAAGCAAACGTCCACTAGAAAAGACGATTGTCAGACACACAGTGAGAGAAGAAAAACGGCCTGGACGCAGGAGAACAACAGTTGCAGCTGGACAGCAGAAGCAACGGCAGTGGCAGCAGCAGCAGCCGCATAAAGCGAAAAGCCAAGCAAATCAAAGTCTCAAGGCCAGCGAGAACAAGTGCATTGGAAACGGTAGCGTGAGTGTGTGTGTGTGTGTGCGTGTGTGTGTGCGTGGAGCGAGTGGACAAAATGGAACCTGTCCGGCGAATCAGGTTGAGATCGGCCACGGTGATATCGCTCTGATTAGCAACTTAGTGGCCGTGGCAGTAGAGAGCATGAGAGAAAGAAAGAAAGAGACATGGTCAGTGTGCAAGAGCAGTGTCACAGAGCACTGACTTCCAGTGACTCTCGCAGTGCAAATCAAATGGCGAACCAGTGGAAAAGGTTAATTAAAAATGCTAATCGAGCCTGATATCTCGATGTACGTTGCACTTACCGTGCTCCGACGAGAAGTTTGTAATTGGGAACATCGAAGAGCAACTGCTTGTAGTAGAGGATGTCAGGATGTGAAAAGCGGTCGATGTCTGTGTGAGAGAGAGGGAGAGGGAGAGGAGACAAAAGCAAGACGGGACAGGTTAGTTAATAGTTTAGGGCAATCGATGCTTCGCAGAGAGCGGCTCAATTAGAGGTAAACAAAGCCCAGCGTAGTGGAGGGCAAACATGACAATGTTCGGCTGAAGAGTGGCAACACTGATTGCCAACACACACTTTGGTGTCGCACACTCAGTGGTGCTCACTTGTGCCTCGTCTGTCTGTGGCAATGTGGACCAGGCCATGGAGTTGATCGCACCTCAGTGAAGTCAATCAATCACGCGCTCGGTTGGACTACATTGGCGAAAGTAGTAGGTAAGAGGGAGAGGGAGAAAGAGTGAAAGAGACTGACAAATTCAATTGGCAATTGGCCACTCGACGCGGTCAGTGGAAAGTGGTAATGGCCACTGTGTGCTCAGAGTCCACTCTCTGTCTTCTTCTGTCTTCGCTCATTCCCCCACCTCCTCCCTCTCTCTCTAAACTTTGCTGTGATTGCGCTGATGACAATGCTCTGAACTGTGTGCGCAACCATTGATCATCTACGGCGACAAATAAGAAGATAGGTGCGAAAGCAGCAATTTAATGTCAAATCTGGCAATGTGACGACGAAGGTAGTCATCGCAACACGCCAAGGTGACCAAGTCGCACGGTGCTACACCGAGCAGACAGACAGACAGATCCTCCGGTGACAGTGTGGGCCTCACCGAGCAACGACCTGTTGAAGTCAGTGAGAGTCACCACCAGTCCGCCCTGTGTCCCTGGTGACTGTTCACATTATTATGTACCATGCGAGGGAAGTGGAAAGTGTCCTCCACCGTGAAGTGCAGTCTGCACGAAGACTGAGATCCAGAAGAGAGTGTAGGTAGACTAAGCTAATTAATGAGACAGTTGCCAGGCAATACAGCCGACTCGAACAGTAAAGAGTGAGTGTACACTGAGCACTCATATCAGTGTCTAGTGCTGCTGTGAGTTTGTATTTGCGTATTTGTATACGTGTGCACTGTATGTTTGCTGCCGGTGGTGCTAGGGAAGCAGAAAAAGACAGAGCAAACAGAGCTGATGGGCGAGGACGAGAAAGATGACAAAGTTCAGGCAGGAGAGAACCGACAACACAACCAGAAAGTTGTGCTCAGCGTAGAATAGAAAACAAGGAAAGAAAGACAGTTCCCTGCAGGCAGCAAATAAGTAAGCCAAAGACAAACAGAGGACGGGCAGACAAGTGACTGCTGCTGTCGCTGCAGATGCTCAATGCACTCCAACGCAGACTGCCTGATGCCTGGTGATATTTGGTGCGGCAATGTGCTGCACAGCCTAGGTTGCCGCAATAAAGCACAAATCTTACATCTGCCTTCAGATTAGCCTGATGCTGCTGCTGCTGGTGATGGACCTGGTGTAGAAAGCGCTCTAACAGAGCGGATTAGCAGCCTTAGTCGGCGACTGGTGATGGCTTGTGGCAGTGGCTAGGAGGCAACACTAGTGCATGGACTCTGTCTAATAAACAGAAGGAGGAAGCAGTAGAGAGAGAGAGAGAGAGAGAGAGAGAAGACAAACAATCGACTCACTCTAGTGATAAGTGATTTTGACAGCCACCGAGAGCGAGAGAGCGAGAGAATGGGCCATTTGAACAGGTGGCGAGAAGAGCAGTTGAGGTCGGCCAGGTATATGCCAGCTATGACTAAGCATCGGCGCTGGCTTTATTCCGTCAGCGCTGTTTAATTACCTGCTGCCAGAGAGCGGTGAAAGAGCAAGCGGCAATTTTGATGACCCTTCCAGGGAAGAAGAGGAGGCCACAAATCACTGCTTTACTCAATCCGCGGAAGACAGCAGGGCCACTGGCGACAGTGTAACACTACACTACAAGACGGGTTGTCGAAGATAAGTGCGGACTTGGTCTGCGCTAAGCCCGCGACAAC